AAACAGTAGCCTAATTCATTTGCAAAGACATGCCTTTGAGAAATATGTTTTATGGCAGAGCAACTCTGGCAAGGGACGAAGAGGGACCTTTTAGGGCAGTTAACACCCAGAAGAACCTGAGTACACCCTCAGCCATCTCTCACACTAAAACGAGACAGGGCACATCTTGGGAATGATGCTACTTCTAAAAACCAGGCGTGGCTTACATACTGATTCACCTTGGAAACCAAGAGAAACTTCATCAATTTGCTTTTGTCTACGAGAGACCGAAAAAGGTCTCTTGGAGAACAGCAACGTAGAGAAGAGGAACAAGACAGTTTACAGATAGAATACAAGGCACCTAAATAAGGAGCATATTTTCTGCAGGAGTCTGTTTACGTAATCATTTGTGGGAAATTCAACACTAATGGAGTAGCTCCTGTTTTTATGTTTACTCTGGCAACTTAAAAATTACATTTATTCATTTACTTATTATGTGCTGAGGTCAGAGAGTAGCTACTCTCTTTCTACCATGTGGGCTCCAGGCATTGAACTCAGGACATCAGGCATGGTGGCAAACGCCTGTACCAGGAGAGCCATCTAACAGCCCCTCCTCTGGTAACGCGTAGCTGACAAAACTCTTAAATCATCTTGTTGGATGTAATTTAAGAAGAAAGCCAAGTACTTATACATACATTCATTTATTATACACATAAAGTTTCTTTAAGCCTCACAACAGAGCTTTTTCAAATGAATTTTGCATGATACAGAATACAAAATGAACGTAACTTCATAATGATGTTAACTACAAATATTAAAATAAGTACTATCCTTAATTGTTTTAAAAGATGTATAATAGGTCTCTGTGAATGAAGACCATCTTGTGCTTGTCAACATGGAAAGTATCATTAAAATTTGGGGGGAAAAAGCAAGCTGAGTAACTAAGTACAGGGGACATACCCGGAGTTCCCAAGCTCAGAGGATTATTTTGAATTCGAGGCCCTGTCTCAGGAGGTGTTTAATACTAGAACAAACCGTACTGTACTAAAGCACTGAGCATTTGTATTTGTCGGAAATTTTTTATCAGCTCGAAACTCCTTCCCGAGCTGTTCAACACGATGACCAGTGCTGTCATATGCTGTCTTCCTGTAACGGAGTAAAACTTTACGTCATTAATCAAGTCTACTTTAATTCGTTCCATGGAGTTGATATTTCAGTACTATCATGCTATATAAAAACGTCTGGTTTCCTGTATAAAGATCAACAACTATTTAAAAGCAACTGAGTCATTTTTTTCCTTTAACTAGTAACTTTGGCTACTCTATGCTAGAACTGCGAGGCACACCTGTGACCAAGGAAGCGACTGCCCAGGAGGGAAACTCACACGCACAGGTGAGATGTGCGGTCAAACAGACTGGAAGGGGGCGATGGACTCTGGGTTCAAAAGTCCACAAAAAGCTTCCTGGCAAAGCGACTGAGGCAGCCCTGGGTGTCCAGGGCTGACACGGGAAAGGGAAAGAAGGGCAAGGCCGGAGCAATGCTGGAGCGCCTGCCCACTTCCTGTCTCAGGCCTGGTCTCACTGTGGCCCGGCTCTACTGACATCTCCTTCCTGGCTCACTCAGAACATCATCCTATCCATACTGCTTTTCCCATCTCCCTGACCCATTTCCCTTCCTCCCTGGGACTCAGTTTAACTAAAGTTTTCTCTTCAAAGCCTTCCCAGACCATTCTAGCCTTAAAACTAGTTAGTGTCCACATGAGGATGTCTTGACAACAGCAGCCTCGTTATGCCTACCTTACCTGCAGGCCTAGCACTCGGAAGGCAGAGGCTTGTTGTGAAATATATTTTAACTGGGCAAAGAGGTGCCATTTGTTTGTGCTGTGGAACATCACATTAACTATGTGTAAAGGTGTTTAAGCTGTGTTTGTTTAATTATGTAAAGACGTGTTGCATTTGTGAAATTATATGAATTTAGCTGGGATAATAGTGCATGTCTGGCATCCTGGCATTTGCTTAGGTAAAAGGAGGAGGATCAGAAATTCAAAGCCAGCCTCAGTTACAACCAGTTTAAAATTGCACTGACCTGCATGCAACCCTACCTGAAAAAGTCGAAGAAAAAAAAATGTATTTTAATTAAAAAGGTAATGTGATCTCACATACTCCAGAAACCTCTGTATCTCTCACTCATGTGGCTGGCTCTTAGCATCATGATGCACTGTCTGACACACAGAAGCACAGAAGATACTCCACAAATCAAATCAGTTCTGTCAATCGTTTTTGCATGATGTTAAATATAGCATTGAAGGTTTGATAGGTATGTTAAATCATAGGGCCAATAAGGAAAGTACATAATTCTTTTAAAATGTTCTCTTTCTTAATAAAAGACTAGAAATAATAAAACAGTAATAGTACACAAAAGAATACAAATACAGAAAGCTGTATTTTGAATTCCTTGATTTATAGATAGTAAATATATATATATATATATATCTTTTTAATATATCTTTATACTTTTACTTCCTCAGTCACATGCAATAATCTACTCAAAGTTTAGGAAAACTCAAGCCCAGCATGTGAACAGTAACGCCAAATCAATAAAGTCTCACATTTTCTAGCTCCCTAATAAGATGATTTACATATTATCTATATACGAATACATGTGAATATGTAAATTGCCTTCTGTAGCTACATCCCAATACTTTGGTATCACATTTCTATCAGCTAAGAGGGACAATAGTCAAACTAGTCAGTTATCTCAGATTCACCAAATTACTACTGAAGGAAATCACTAACATATCTAAAGTTGCTTCCTAGGTCCAATTAGTTTTGAGTGACACTTTTTTTTTTTTTTTTTTTTCTGAGACAGGGTTTCTCTGTAGCTTTGGAACCTGTCCTGGAACTAGCTCTTGTAGACCAGGCTGGCCTCGAACTCACAGAGATCTGCCTGCCGGGATTAAAGGTGTGCACCACCACTGCCTGGCCACTTTTTCATTTCTTTTTTGTTTTGTTTTGTTTTTCAAGACAGGGTTTTCCTGTGTAACAGTCCTAGCTGTCCTGGAACTAGCTCTTGTAGACCAGGTTGGCCTCGAATTCACAGGGATTTACCTGCCTCTGTCTCCCGCACCACCATGGCCCGGCTTTCATTTTTATAAATAAGTACAAGAAGTATTTTAAAAACTGAAGACTGTGCCAGGTGATGGTGGCGCACGCCTTTAATCCCAGCACTTGGAGTCAGAGGCAGGCGGATCTCTGTGAGTTCGAGGCCAGCCTGGTCAACAAGAGCTAGTTTAGACAGGATCCAAAGCTACAGAGAAAGTCTGTCTTGAAAAACCAAAAACCAAAACCAAACACTGAAGAAGGTACTGAAATGTTTAGGTGCATAGATTAACTTTCCAACTATAAATTACTGGCATTTAGGAAAAAATTAGTCAAAAGAAAACTAAAAGTATAAACCCTATGTTTAAGAAACGCCCACTGGGCTCCATTTTTATTTAACATTGAAATACTTTTGCTTTGCAAAGAAAAGACAGGAAAGTTCATATTACAAGAGTACTTTTTGTTTTAATTCTCTGAGAAAGTGGAAGAAATCTGAATAACAAGTTCACAATGTGGCGGATGAAGCTGAGAAACAATGGTTTCGGTAAGGCTCTGCTCTGCCATGTCAAGCGCGCTGCCTGTCTGCCAGTCTGGAGCACCCAGGCCACCACGCTACAGCATACGAACCACAGAAAAGGCGGCTCCAAAACAACCCCTTTTAATGTACAAACATGAGTTTAAAAATTGCTTTTAAAAAAATCACCTCTTTTACATAATGTATATGCAAAACTGCTTTAAATACATGATTCTGGAAGAATTATTTACGCATGTGTCGGCCTGTGGAACATGCCACAGACAAGGCGCACACAGTGGCTCAGCGTGAGGGGTGATCTCGCCTGTGGGAGGTGTCAGTCTATCCGGCAGTATAGCAATCATAAAGCTGTGACAAAGCATCTAAGGGCACCCGAGAATCTGACCCTCCAGACAGTTCAGATACTAGGACTGCCAAGTCTCCACAAGGACACGCTGACGATCCAGATGCCCACGGACAGCTGTTCTGCTGGAAGGGCTGACGCGGACGGCCTGCAGCACACGTGGCTGCAGGTACGAGCTCCTGCGAAAGGGACAGCTGACAACGATTGCCATCCAAAGAGTGAATTAACCTAGAATTTCCTTTTTTTCAATTTTATTAATATTTTAAAAAATACATAAAAATACAACCATCCAATGTCTGAATAAATATATTTAACAAGTTGCAAGATAATACCTTATTTTACACAAAATTTTCAGCTTTAGAAATCTTGTTAAATAACTTCATTGTTGTTATATATTTCATTTTTGTATTTTTGTAACAAAATAAAAACTCTGAAATTACATAGAAAAAAGACAAAATATTTTTGTCAAGGGATAAGATAGTCCACTGAAAACTTATTCACAATTCCACTGTAAACATTAATAAACATTAAAATATTTGCATAATTGTGTGCTCAAAAGTCCTATAAAAAGTGGAAGACTTATTACAACTGCAGTTTTCAGTCAACTACACTTCCTTTCACAATTTATTTTGTCCCATATACACTTTAAACCCGGGCACACTGCTGAACATATGCTTTGGCAGTTCTACATAGCAAGTGCTTCCACAAAAAAAAAAAAAGAAATTAAAAAAAAATCAACAATAATAAAAAACAACACAAACCACCCCCTACTCACCAAGTGTTCGTGCTCAGTGCAGTGAGGGCGCAGCAGTCACTGCTCAGCCAGGCAACAGTCTGATGTTCATCACGTGCACTCGCTTGTCTAGGATTTCTACAACACCTGAAAGCTTTATTATACAAATTCAAATTTGCTAAGTGCCCTTTTTTCTCTATCACAAAAAAAAAAAGAAAGAAAGAAAGAAAAAGAAAATACAAAGGAAAAATTATGACCAATATGGCAGGTCACCTAACCTTCAATTATTAATAAGCTTATTTTTTGCAACAATAAAAAAGAAGAGAGGAGGATATAGACAATCCTGGAAAAATATACAGGAGATCCTTCGCCAGCTGAGTGCTTTCTGTGGTTGTAGTTCAGAGTTTTGTAATTTAAGTCCATGGCAGCAAACTGCTGGGAGGTGGGGAGACTTTCATCACCTGCACTCGACAGCAAGGACGTTTTGCGGGGGAGATGATGACGAGGGACTCATTCCAGTGTCTGATGAAGCAGATGACATAGAAGCTCCTGCATGGGACACTGTGGAATCAACACAACCAGGTTAGATCAAGGAATGATTACACAAAGATACCTAAGAAAGAAACTAAATTAGAAATAAGGTTCTGTTGTTTGGTTTTTTAAGACCATCTCACACAGACCAGCCTGGTTCAAAGTCCATATGTAGCCAAGGAGGACCTTACATTCTGGTTCTCTCGCTTCTACCTCCCAAGTGCTGGGATTCCAGACGTGCCCCACTACACCTGGCTGGACCCCATCAGGTGTGCAGGTGTGGGAGCATGGGTGGGTTTATTTAGACACCCCCTGGAGCCAGCTATTCTACTTATCCCTGTTCTAGCCTGATCAAACACGCTCTGTACTGGGAACCCCACGGCCTTGCTTTATTTTCCTGTGGGGAACGGAGGAGGACCTGAGAATGTGAAGTCCTGAGTGAAGGTGTGTTGTTGGGACAGCCACGACAAGGACCACAGTCTCAGGCCCATGGGAAAATAGCCAGGCCTTCCCCGACAGGGTGAGGCTTAAAGAAATGGCACAGCCTTCCTCAGGGGTTGACAGTGTGTGCAGAAAGTGTCCCCATAGCCTTTGCCCATTGGATGCTTACGGCCTTCCCACTGCTTCCCTACAGACTGCTCCCTCTGTGATGAGCTATGATCTCCTTGATCCAGCTGTGTACCATGAATAAGTCCTGCATCCTCCATCATCTGTAATAACCACATTCTTGTTTGGCTGTATGCAACGACCTTTCTGTTCTTACTCTACAGCATCTTACTCTACATCTACAGCGAGGACCCTTTGTCTGCAGGAGTCCACGTTCTCTCTGTCTGGTTTCTGGCCTGAGAAACAGGATGCTGTCCACCCACCTCTTCTGTGTGTACCTTTTACGTGGTAAGCTTTTAGCATCTGAAATTGGACCTGAAATCCTAGCACTTGGTAGGATGAGAGAGAAAATCACCATGCATACTGGCCAGCCTGTATGCAGAGAGAGACCCTGCCTCAGCAAGCCAACCTCATCTCCTAGTGAGAACCAAAGTCTCTAAGAACCCACTTCTAGCCTGTGGAGTACTATGTTCATAGTCTGACTCTCCATTCCCATAAAGGTGTATTAATGGTCTTCTAACACACCCCAGCTTTCCCTAAGGAGTTTCCCCCATAGTCTTCAGTGCTCTTTCTAGAAATCCTATCAGAGCTCCTCATCAGTTCTGTTCTGTTATTTATTCTTCTCTACCCTCATTATTCCACTGACCTTCCTTTCTGCCCACCAACCCATTTCTTTGAGACAACACAGCTCAGGCTGTCCCCTTCCACCTCTTGGAGTCAGGGCGCCTCTATGCAGCCCAGGCTCACTTAGTGGAGCTCCCAGCCTTCCCACCCCAAGTGCTGACATTGCAGGTGTCCACCATATCTTTCTTGCTTTCTGATGGGATTTTTTTTTTCTAGCACAACACATGTCCTTTTTACTATTTTTTAAATCCCCCTGTCATACTTTCGTAAATCCTTTTTTTAAAAAGATTTATTTATTTATTATGTATTTCAGTGTTCTGCTTGCATGTATGCCTGCAGGCCAGAAGAGGGCACCAAATCTCATTACAGATGGTTGTGAGCCACCATGTGGTTGCTGGGAATTGAACTCAGGACCTTTGGAAGAGCAGGCAAAGCTCTTAACCACGGAGCCATCTCTCCAGCCCCTCATAAATCCTTCTTTATCTCTGAAAATTTTCCTTTTCTTGGACACAGGGTCTTAGCCCAAGCTAGTCTTGAACCAACTACCTAGCCCAGGTTGGCCTTGAACTCTTGATCCTCCTGCATCTACCTCACAAGTGCTAGGATACAATCACAGGTTTGATGAGCTTATATGACCAGCTTTACATTCTTAATATATTTGTACTTTTTAAAAATTAACAGTTTTGTGGGTTATTTCCCCTTCTATTTCAGCCTATCTTTACACAAAGATTTTTTTCAAATATCTGGTCATGTGGATTCCAGATGTAGGAAAGACTAAACTAAGTTAGCTAGAAGCCTGAGCTTTGCATCTTTCAATGTGGACAAAACACATATGACTTGCAAGGGTCTTGCTTTTAGGAGCAGAAGCATCCAAATGTTGGTTTCTAGGGTAGACCACTTGTCTAGTTAGTTTCTTCAGAAGAATCCCTCCATCTCCTCCCAGGAAGGGAGGAAGCAGGTTAAGGTTCTCAGGAAGTGGGAGGGTGGGAAAAAGACAGGGAGATTCACCATCTGGTATTCAACTCTGATTTAACCCTTCTCTATCACCAGCTAGAGCTGGTGCCCCTGAGTCTTCAAAGTGATTCCATTTAGTTCCTGTTTCAGTCAGAGATGGGGAAACATAAACCTGTCTTTAAAGGGTAGATAAAATGACCTAATTTCTTATTTCATTTCTAAACAGTCTGGCAGTTCAGCCTCACCCCCGACCTTAACTTGAGAGCTTTTCTACAGTTAAAAAATGTCAACTGACTTGCTTGCTTTTTTTTTTTTAAGTGCAAGAGCAAGTGACTGTGCTGTTTAATCACTAACACAGTAGTCTAGCGGCTGCTCAGTGTCCTACGGACACGGGGTTTTGTTTCTGTCTTAGTTTTTTGAGACAGGATCAAGCTGACCTTAAACTTGGTTGAAATCCTGACTCTGTCTCCTGAAGGCTGAGATTTCGGGTACACACACACACACACACACACACACACACACACACACACAAGCACACATGCACACACACTTAGCTTCTAAAGATAAAATGTTTGCATTTCTTTTTTGTGGTTTGAGGGTTTTGTTTGCTTTTCTTACTCTGCAGCTCAGACTGGCCTCAAACTCGCCATTCTCCTGCCTCCATCCAGACTGCTAGGATTACAGATATACACCCGCCTTACTGCTATTTCTTGTCTGCTGTGGTAACTGTTTCATTTTCTTTTTCTTCTGCATATGGGGCTTTTTTTTAAAGCAATATGAAACCATTTTTCATGCATCTCTTATTTATGACCACAGGTTATTTTCCATGTCCTACACTTCAAAACATTAAAGAACAGCTCTATACTGTTCCCCTTGGCAAGAGGCTAAGGGTCTGAAGTCTGTGCCCAGGAATACCAGTGTGCTGTGTTCCTTTGCAGTTTCTGTAGGAGTCACCCTCCAGCCCAAGAGAGAAGCCAAAGTTCACAGAAGTGGAGCTGCCCAAGCCCTTTGGAGATCAAACAGGATACCATGTGCCCCGATGCTGACCTAATCAATAGGTTTCTTGGGTGAAAAGTTGGAGGCAGAACCATTGGAGAATGAAGACCACTGGGGGTAAATCCTGGCTCCTCTTTATATTCTCTTGGTGACAGCAATGTGAAAAGAACTAATACAGGAGCTATCACAATTCGTTCTGCCACAAACAACACATAAATCCCCCTTCCTATTTTCTCTAGAAGTTGGCATTATCATCTTGGATGCTACTTCTCCCTAGAATCGTAGTAGTGAGTGATCACTTCCCCTTGTTCTGATATGAGTACTAATGAGTTAGGGCACAAACCTTAATTTCCTTTACTGATATCTTGGCAGAGTTTGGCTACACAGATGTCCAATGTTTGACTAGCTGACATTCTTAAGGTCTGGCACAGATATCACACTCCCTAAGATTATTTAAAGTAACCTAACTGCCAGACTGCCAATGTTCCTCAGGGCACACACTGTCCAGCAGATGTCAGAACACTAGAGATCAAAGTCTGTGTCTACTTCGTCTGGCCTCTGCATCCCTGCAGAGCGGCACATGCTCAGTAGCACGGCTGAGCAGCATTCAATTGCCCTGTAGCTGTGTAGAATGAGCTATGGCTTCAAACAGGTAATCCAACAATACCCAAGGCCTAATAACAAAAGAAAGTATTTGTTGAGCCAAGCATGCCCTCCGGGAAAACCCAAAACGGTTAGTAAATCACAGACTGTTTAAAATAGTTCATAGGTCTTTCAAGAGTGTTGTTCTGGTTAATTCGGCTGCAGACACACCCACTTCTCCGCATCAGGAGACAATGCTATCCCTAAAAGTAGCGTCTACTGCACATGAACTGAGAGATAAACTTACAAAATGACCCAAGCACATCCAAAAATGAGGGGAGAAACAAACAGCATTACCTTCTCTGTCTTTCTTTTTCAATCTTTTCCTCCTCCTGTCTATGGTTGCAACTTCAGACTTCAAAGACATGTAGTATTTTCTGATTTCCTGTAGTTTTTCTTGGAGAAAAGAGATTCTCTCTGTACTGTTCATATTATCTAATTCATCTAAAAGGAAAGATAAAGATAATCTAAATTTTAAAATGATAATTCTATAAGAAAAAAGGCAATTCTATAAAAAGTTGGACTTGTAAATCAGTAAAAGGTTTAGTATTATGACCTAACACAAGTTCTTTACAGATACAATTAAATTAAATTAAATGTATGACTAAGAGTTCTTTAGCCTTATAGTCTATGTTAAGCATGTATTACTCTTGGAGCTGGAGAGATGGCTTAGTGGTTAAGAACTCTGGCTGCTCTTCCAGAGGACCCAGGTTCAGTTCCCAGCACCTCACATGGCAGCTCACAACTGTCTATAACTTCAGTTCCAGGGAATATGACACCCTCACACAGACATACATAAAGGCAAAACACTGGTGGGCATTAAATAAATGAACAAATAAATAAATCTAAGAAAAAAAATGTATCATTTCAATGATCACAAAACATTAAGAAGCATCAAAATAAGGCAATCGGACCCTATAATGTAATCAGCATCTCCAGCAGTCAGCACTTCCATATCACTGACTTACATAACTGAGACTTCAGACAAAGTCTGTGTAGCCCAAGTTGTCCTCAAATTTATGTCCCTCCGGCTTCAACCTCATGAATGCTGGGTTACAGGGGTGAACCACAAACTCATCTCATGTTTTGTTTGTTTCTTTCTTTTTTTTTAAAGAGTTATTTATTTATTATGTATACAGCATCCCTTCCATGTGAGCCTGCAGGCCAGCAGAGGGCACCAGATCTCATTACAGATGGCTGTGAGCCACCATGTGGTTCTTGGGAACCGAACTCTGGAAGAGCAGCCAGTGCTCTTAACCTCTGAGCCATCTCTCCAGCCCCTCATGTTTTGTTTCTTAACTAAAGATTTTGTCATACTTACCGAATTCGCATTATCCAAATTAAAGAAAAGCAGATTTACATACAAGTGATGGTTATTGATTTGCAATGGCTACATAATTTGTTAATGATTACTAACATCATTCCATTAGTCAAGAAATGTCACACTTCACAATATAATCAGGCTATCTGAAAGGTTCTTACTGAGCTGGAAGCTCCACTTATATGTCCGGGGGGATGAATTTGGGTGCTTTTCTCTGTGCTTCTCTTTCTCTCCATCTTTGATGTGAGGCGAGATCCTTGCAGGGGAGCGAGCCAGCTTCTGCGGCTTAGACAGGCTGAGATGCTTGACTGGCGTGCATTTGCTGGAACTGTCTATGGTGGGGAGATCTTCGCTGTCACTGCTTTGTCCTGTAATAAGTTCACTCCAATTAAACACGATAAACAGCCTCAAACACTGAGATTCAGCGGAAGAAGCAATGACACTTCTTGGTCTCACATAGGTCAAGGATCACAACAGAGAAAGGGAAAATATACTCTTTGGCCTCAGTGGCAGAAGCAAGATGACGAAAAGAATGTCAGCCTTTGGAAAGCGTCACAGTAAGATACACACTTTGTGGGCCTGCTGTGGCTCTAAGGTCTACCACCTTCAGAAGTCGGCCTATGGCACAGAGTACCAACAAAATATCCTGTGGCTCCGTGTGTGTAGTAACAAAACATAAAATACTCTAAAGGAGAACCAACCCAACTGTGTATGGAGAACACACACAGATCTTGCATACATGTTCAACATTTTTTTCTTTTCTTCTTTAACTTTTTTTTTTTTTGGTTTTTCAAGATAGAGATTTTTTGTGTAGGCTTAGCCGTCCTGGAACTCGCTCTGTAGACCAGGCTGGCCTCAAACAGATTTCTGCTTGCCTCTGCTCCCAAGTGTGAGGAGGGTTAAAGGTGTATGTTATCACTGCCTTTTAATCATAAATAATATGTAACGTTTATCAATAATAAATATAAATTAAGAAATATTATTAAATATTACATCATAAATAAATAAAAAACATTCATTTTTTTAAAAAATAGTCTTGATAGCCCAGATTGGCCTAAAAATTAGTATCTAGTCCAGACTATCCTGGAACTCACGATCCTCCTGCCTTAGCTGCCTGTGTGCTATGATTATAGGCATTCTGGTCTATGCTCAATTTCTGATACATGTGTTAACAAGAGAGAATTCATTTCCAACTCTGCCTCCTTTCTCACCAATTCATCCTAAGAATGGTACTGACTTTCCTATAAAAACAAACTGTAATTTTATTTTACTGTTTTTTTTCAAGGTATATACCTTTTACCCCTTCCCTATCTTTACTCTCAAAAGCCAAAGATTACACACTCAGTTTCCCAGTCCATCTCCTCTCCTGCATCTGCCCTATCTGTATGTCTTTACTATCCTTAAGGAAAAATTTGATTGTTGTGTGGAGGATGTGGAGGACAGGCTACACGCTGTGGAGGACATGTGGAAGTCCCACCTTTCTGCATCCTGGGACAGAACTCACCTTGTCAGGATTGCATGGCAAATGCTTTACCCAATGAGCTACCTCTTTGGCCCCTTATTGAGTCTTAATTATAATGGTTAAATTATGATTATTACTCATCCTCAAAGAGTTTGCTTTGTAATGCTCAACTACCAGGTCTCCTGGAATAAAAACCCTTATGTCAAATGCCCATTTGAAATTGGGAGTCTTCTGTTTCTAAAGTCTAAATAGATCTGCCTCATCCTTACGGGGGGTGGGGGGCAAGGAGCAGAAGGAAGTAGGCTCCCTTTGGTGGGAACCTTTTCCCATCAAATTTCTTGAAAAATAAATGTCTTGTCAGCTGGGGGTGGGGGACACACACACCTTTAATCCCAGCACTTGGGCAGCAGAGGAAGGCAGATCTCTGAGTTTTAGGCCAGCCTGGTCTACAGAGTAAGTTCTAGGACAACCAAAATCATACAGAAAACCCCTGTCTCGAAAATCAAAAGAAAGAAATGTCTTGTCATTCTGACTTCCTTTCCTTCTAACTTCCTTTCCTGGAACTCAATATGGACCAAATTCAACATCATAAGCTAATCCATACAACTCCAATACTATTGATTTCACCTTGGAATTCTACTTTTGGCTTTTTTCTTGTTTTCTTTTTCTTTTCTGTATATGTGTGTGTTCACACGTGGAGAGATGTGTGCATGTGCACACGGGGCACTATTCCTTAGGAGCTGTCCACCTTGTCTTCTGAAACAGTCTCCCACTGGGAACCGGGGCTCACAGATTTGGCGAGGCTGCCTAGCTAGTGAACGCCATGGACCTGCTTGTCTGCTTTTCCCAGCCTTGAGATGAAAGTGTGCACACCTGGCATTTTACATGAGCTTGTGGATGAACATGAGGCCTCATGCTTGCACCGCAAGCACTTGACTGACAGTTCTCCCCAGTGCTTTCTCGTTTTCATGACTTTCCCACAGCAGCCTCATCCTCCTGTAAATTCAGACTTCTGAACACAGATTTTCTTCTGATGCTACATGCTATCTATTTTCCTAATCCTGGGTAGCAACAACTCAGTTCCCCCAAACCCTTCCAACACTCTGCTGCTAGGTCCTATGTTCCATATCTACGTTAACTAAGTCCTTTGAAGACACTAACCACACTGAATCCTATTAGTTTTACTGACTTCATCTTTCATTCCATTCCTTGTCACTGCCTTAACCCAAAGATTACTTCCAAAAGTAAAAGTCAATCATGCCCTTTACTTACATACATACATACATACATACATACATACATACATATTTGTGAGTAGGTGTTAAGTGTGGGCATGCATGTGCCATGGTATAGCTGCCCAGGTTACAAGATGATGTTCAGGTGTCATTTGTCTCTGTACCTTGAGTGGAGGCAAGATAGCTGCCCAGAGCTCCCGAGAGCCGTCCTGTCTCCACCTCCCACTGCACAGCAGGAGAACTGGGATCATACATGTGCAGCCAGCATAGTTAGCTTTCCCATGGGTTCTACGGATTGAATTTGGGATGCCAGATTGGTGGTACAGCTGGCACATTTACCTTCTGAGACACCTGGTTAGCCACTTCCTTTTTTAAATCTTTAAATTTTTACTTGAAATAATTTATAAATTTATAAAAATTAAACAATACCAGAATTTTTTTCAATCCACTTGAGGGCAATTGCCTCATCACATTCAAATATTTTAGCATGAAACACTTCTTACAATCAGAATGATTTTAGTTATCTAGTCCTAACTCAACAGGTTTGAAACAACAAACATTCAGTATCTCACACAGTTTCTGAGGAACAAAACCTTGGAACATCTTGACTAGCTGGCCCACCTCAGGAATCCTGGGAGGGTGCACTTTAGCCAGGGCTTTGGTCTCTGACTTTGGTGTCTGATCTTGACTGGCTCATTGTCATGGCCACTGGTACAGTGTTGGTTTTCTCCTGGCCAACTGCAGAAGCCGACTGCCCCTCATTGCACAGATTCAGACGCTCGGATGTCCTTACACTACGGCAGTGCCTTTCTATCAGGGTAAAAGGGACTCTGTGGGGCCTTTTATGATCCATTCTCCAAAGCCATTGTCTCAGTTATTTTTCCTGTTGCTGTGGTAAAAAACTAATACCCTGATAAAGACAGCTTAACAGTTCAAGGGTGCAGTCCATCCCAGCAGGGAAGCCACAGCATTAGTGCCTGTTACTCTGTATGACTGTCAAGCAGAGAGAAATGAAGGCTGCGCCCAGCTCACTCTCACCTTTTCACAGACTCCAGGGTTCCAGCACAGGGAATAGTGTTGCCCATTGTGGGTGAGTCTTCCAACTTCAATTAACCTTATCAGATAATGTCCCACAGGCGTGGCCAGACACTGAGTCTAGATAAGCTCTCACAGCTATGTTCAGGTCTGTTCTATGTGATTCTACATCTTGTCAAGCTGGCAGTCAACGCGACCCATCACAGTCACGTGCCATCACTATACTTTGTTAGATGTGAATCACTGAGCTCATCTCAGTCAAGGGGAGGGAAGTTAGGTTACACTTCTTAGAGGGACAGAGCAACGAATTCGTAGACTTTAATTTTAAGCCAACATACTCCTATCAGCTATCCTACACAAGAACTCACAGATTGCAACTTTCAGACCTCCACTTGATGATCCACAGTACCCTTTAGAGCAAGAAGATCCAGGTGAGAAGCGGTATACACTTAGCGGCATACATGTCTCTAAAGTCTCTTTCAATCCTGAACATTTTTCTTCTTATGGCATTCAGGACCTTATGGGTCTGACTAGTAGACGCCTGTTCCTGTGTTGGATCCTCCAGGTCTGACTAGTAGACACCTGTTCCTGTGTAGGATCCTCCAGGTCTGACTAGTAGGAAGGAGCTGTTTATGTGTAGGATCCTTCAGGCTGAGTTTGTTGGTGGTCCTGAGGTGTTGATTAGATTCATACTACGTATCTTTGATGGGACTGTCTCAGATGTTGTTGCTATTCTGTTCTTACTGCATTCTGTCCAGTTGTACGTGATTTTAATTTGTCCCCTTGCTATGTGGCCAACGCTGGCCTGAAGCTTGCAATTTTTCTGCTTTAGCCTTCTAAATGCAAATATTACATTAAATCATATGCTACTGTGCCCAGCTGAGAGAGTATTCACTTCGATTACACTAAGGTGGTATCTTACAGGTTTATAAGCTATAAAATTATGCATATTCCCTTTATAATTTTTTAAAGATTTATTTATTTATTATATATACAATATCTTGCCTGTATGTATCCCTGTGGGCCAGAAGAGAGCACCAGATCTCATTACAGATGGTTGTAAGTCACAATGTGGATGCTGGGAATTGAACTCAGAACCTCTGGAAGAGTAGCCAGTGCTCTTATCCTCTGAGCCGTCTCTCCAGCCCCCTTTATAATTTCTAATCCAGTCTTCTCTCCCATCATTCTGTTTTCCTTAGTCCTGAACCATGCAGCTGCAAGATACTTCTGACTACTAGAAACCTGAAAGACAGATTCAAGTCCTTTGAGGTGTCTGTCGGTTCCTGTATGAACTCTGTCCTTTTGATTAGGATATGAGCCATTTTACCTAAGGCATGGCCTAGTAAAGAACTTGTCAAAAATCAACCATACTTATTTTCACTATTTAACATTATTCATACAGTGCTTGCTTTTCGTATAATCTAATCCATTCATACTGATTTACTATTTTATATCTTTTGATAAGAATTAACTTTTCAAGATGAGGAGATGGCTCAGTGGTTAAGGGCACTTACTGCTCTTGCGGAGGACCCAGGCTCAATTCCCAACACCCACATGATGGCTCACAACCACCTGTTACTTCAGTTCCTGGGGATCTGGTGCCTCTTCTGAACTCTGTGGGCACCAGGTGGGTGCATTAACATACTTGTAGTCAAAACCTTCATAATACATAAAATAAAAATTTATATACTATTTATAAATAAGCTTTTTTGACTAAAGGAAAACGTTATCAGTAGAAATAAAATTTTGCACACTTTTAACACCACAACAAATGCTATTTTTCTTTTCTTCAAGATCCTGAAATGCTGTTCTAATATTCAAATGCTTTCCATGAAGTAATAATTTTAGTTATCCTAGTTCTAAGTAAAACTAATAGATATTTTCAGATTAAATTGGATGGTTGGTGAGACAGCAAAGTGGGGAAGAATTTGTCATGCAAGCTCGAATATCTAAGTTTGATCTCCAAACCCCCATATAAAGATGGAAGGAGAGCACTGACTGCACAAAGCTGTCCTCTGACCTCTACATATACTTGGTGGCACGTTTATGTACTTGTTAGCAATGCATGCACACGTGTGCACACATACACACATCCCATATAAAAATGGAAAAGTTATTTTCAGAACATAATAAGCACACTGCTCATTTTCTGCACTGCCTCGAATGGTCATGCCTCGCCTCTGCGGCTGCACAGACACCAACCTGCTCCGTTCTTCTCGCTTTTAGCTGCAGCACTTGTTCGCTTTGGTGTTCGCTTCTGCTTTTTTGCCATCAACCCACTATTTCCATCGCTTGGCCTCTTCTGACCTGAAAAGAAAAGAAAACCTTGAAAACAAAACCAAAAGGTTGAGGCAGACAGGTCCTTTACATACTTGTCCACATCGGTTCTCCATTTCTAAAAAAGACAACAGTAACCACTGTCACATCTAAAATCTGAATTGTCGGTTTTAACTCAGAAGCAATCCCGCCCCCCACCTGAAAGCCTTACCCTTCTCTCTGCTCTCTCTCTCTTGGACAATTAAACTACAGGTACCAGGGGCACCGCTGGCTTCAAACCCGTTTGCTGATGCCCTCTCACAGAGGCCTTCTTGTGATTCTTCGGCAATACTATCAACTTCAATTGTTATATCGCTCTCGCTCTTTACACTCCGGGACTCGTCTTGACTGAGAGTGAGAGGGGAAGCTACTGAAAAGTTATGCGGCGCTACAGGAGGCAGGGCAGGCTGGACGGAGATCAGAGAGTTAGACTCGGGGCTTTCCACTACCACATCCTCAATGCTGGTCTTCTCCTTCTCATCCAAGTCGTCCAAGTCCACCTCATGGCAAACCAAGGTTTCAGGCCCGATCAGAGGCATCACGTCGTCCTCCTCCTTGAGTGGCGTATGCACAGGTTCTTCAGCTGGGCTGTCCGATTTTTCACTGGTCAGCTCCTGAGTGCCCTGGTCCGGCTCTGCTATCAGTGATGGCATTCCTTCACTTCCTGTTTCAAAGTGCTGCTCGAAATGCAAGCCTCTCCGGCCCTCAGCTCCAGCGCCATCGCTGGCTCTATCTTGGGATAGGCCAGCCGCCGCTTCCATTCCATTCTCAAGCCTTACTTTTTTCTCTGGTGATGGTTGTCCCAGTATTTTCCGTTTCAACTTTTTCTCTTTCTCATATTGGTCAACATCATCTTCTGGAGAAGAGAAGTTTTTACATTCTAGCGACGAAAACTCCAGGCCAGGAGTATCTGCATGAGTTTCAGGGCCTGCTTCTTCCTGGCTGAATGACGAGAGCTTTACAATGTCCAAAGAAAGGTCTTTCGTCTTACTCCGCCTTCCCTTTCCTTTAGGGGACTTTTCCACCTGTTTCTTAGCTTCTTCTACTTGTTCCACTTTGTTTCCAAAAATATGTACTATTTGATCACTGTCTTCGACCTCCACCTTCAGGGTCTCTGAGGGCTGCATCTGAGTCCTGTCATTTTCTTTTAATAGATGTATAATCTTTGGGTTTTCTTCATCTAGTTTATCATCATTCAAATTTTCACTTTTTTCTAATTCTTCTTTAAGATCAGGAGAAAGTTCTTCACCTATCAAGCTCTTCTCCAAAGGGTCTTCTGTTTCACTATCAGATGAACAAGAGTCTGGAAGGAGACAGTACATTATATTAAACACTAATGTAATAACTAAAATCCTACTAAACAGGATCCTTTATATACTTCTGAATCTCCATAGAAATTTCTTCTATAAAATGAATAATCGCATTTATGTTAAAATATAAGGGGAAAGACAAAACTTAAAACGTGACGACAGAGGGCATGATGGTGCATGCATTTAATCTCAGTGCTCAGGAGACAGAGGTAGGCAGATTTCTGGGCCAGCATGGTCTACAGAGCAAGTTCCTGGACAGCCAGAGATACAGGGAAAAACCCTGACTCAAAAAAAAGTAAAAAACAAACAAATAAAAAAGTGACGGTTAAGACTGGGAAGCCAGCTCAGTTGATAAAATGTACTGTGTGAGCATAGAGACCTAAGTTCAAACCCCAAATCCATGTGGGGGAAAAAAAAAAAGCTGAGCATGGCTCTCATTTGTAATTCCAGGTTTAGGCGGCAGAGACAGGGAGATGCTTGGGAATCTCTTGCTGGTCTGAGAACACAGCTCAGTCAGTGAGCACCAGGGCAATCAAAGACCATGTCTCAAAACAATGTCAGGGCTAGAAAGGTAACTCTGAGGATAAAAAGGGTTGCCACCAAGACTGATGACCTGAGTTCAATTCTGAGGACCACATGGTGGCAGGAGAGAACCAATTCTGACATCCAAATGTGCACAGTGGCATATACTTGTCTCTCCAAAATAAACACACAAATGTGATGAAACAGAAATAGAAGTTAACAGTTCCTAAGGAACACTGTTCCAGATTGTCCACACTGGGCTCTGAACATGTGTGCACATACTCCTTCCTCCAGAAACACATAAGCATGTATATACATACAAACAATTAAAAACAAAATTTGTAAAAACATAATGCATAGCATGTTACCATGTCAGTTCTGTATGAAGAGCTGTCTTCAGCAGCATCACACTTAGGCTACCATACCACCGAGAAAATGCAAAGAGCTGGGTGTGGTGGCACATGCCTTTAATCCCCACTCTGGAGGCAAAGATAAACAGATCCCTGAGGCCAGCCTAATCTATAGCATGAGTTCCAGGATAGCCAGGGCTATACAGAGAAACCCCACCTCAAAACAACAACAGCAACAAAAAGAAGCAACAACAAGAGAGCGAAAGAGAGAGAGAGAGAGAGAGAGAGAGGAAGAAAAAAACAAGAAAAAGCATGAATTTTATTTTTTTCTAAAACTTTTAAGTTTTTTTAAAGATTAATTTATTTATTATGTATACAACATTCCTTCCATGTATGCTTGCATGCCATAAGAGGGCACCAGATCTTATTATAGATGGCTGTGAGCCACCATGTGGTTGCTGGGAATTGAACTCAGGACCTCTGGAAGAACAGTCAGTGCTCTTAACCTCTGAGCCATCTCTCCAGCCCATGTATTTTATTAAGATACAATGTTAAGCTGGACAGTGCTGGCACACACCTTTAATCCCAGCACTCAGGAGGCAGAGGCAGGTGGATCTCTGTGAGTTTGAGGCCAATCTGGTCTGCAGAATGACTTCCAGGACAGCCAGGGCTACACAGAGAAATCTTGTCTCAAAAACCAACCAAACAAACAAACAAACAAACAAACAAACAAACAAAACCCTACAGTAACAACAACAAAAATATTCAGGTTAGTATGTTACGTGACTTGACCTGAATTACTACAAAGGTTTACCACTGTACTCTTGGGAGGGAGCACGACATCCCACCTAAAACTTCTGCAGAGAAGGGATGTTTACAATGGGCAATGTGGGGTCTCCAGCCTTCACATGTTGTTTTTAATACAAGAGAAAGCACAGGCAAGTCACCTGCTTGCAAGACAGATTATTCACTTCATGTCAGAGAATTTTTCAAATGATAAGGTAGCATTCTAAGATTGTATGACTATATAATGTAAAAATTTTTGCACTTACGACACTTATATCTTCCCTAAATGATTTTTAAAAGATAAACACTGAATATGTTCATTTTTGTAAAGACAAAGTTTTCAGAGTATAGCCCTGGCCTGCCTTGGTATAGAGACCAGGCTGGTCTCGAACTCACAGAGATTCACCTGCCTCTGCCTCCCGAGTACTGGGATTAAAGGTGTGCGCCACTATACTTGCCAAAGTTTTACGTTTTCTGCTTGTTGGTTTTTTTTCCTTAGGATTTATTTTTATTTCATGAATAGGAGTGTTTGCATGTATGTAGTATGCTTTGTTCATGCCTGGTGCCTGTGGAGGCCAAAAGAGGGTGTCCGATACCCAGGAGCTGGAGTTTTGGCTTTATGAATGCCACGTGGGTGTTTAGAACTGAACCCCAGTCTTCTGCAAGAGCAGCAAGTAATCTTAATTACAGAGCCATCTCCCCACACCTGTGAATGATTATGAAAAAAAGTATATAAATCTTTTGTGGTTTAAATAAAAGTAAAATGTAGAATTCCACTTTCTCGTGTCCAAACATCCTTCAGTTCTGCAGTTCAGTGCTGCTGACACTGGTTGTGTAGCCCTAAGGGAACACCTACTGAGAAATGGAAGCTCACACCTCCCAGAAACCTTGCGTTTGCATATGATGCTAACAGCCAGCAGGTGGCAGGAAAGAGGAAAGAAACCTTCTATGGCTGGCACACTGCAGCTAATGGTAAACCTGACCTTTAGTAGAACTCTAAGGAGGGTAATTTTATAATATCGCCATTTAAAATCTCTTAGATTGCCTAGAAAAAATAAATAAGGCCAGAAAAGTGAGGGGAAATAAAAAGCACAGTTATTGGGGTTAAGGTTAGGTCACCTCTGCTCATCACAACGGACTCTACAGCCACTAGTTCCTGCTCTCAACAACTCTGTGAACCGACAGCAGTCACTGATGCACGCAGACAGGTTTGACGCAGAGCATAGCATGCACTGAGATTCGTGGGTTGTTTAACTTCCCCACGACTAAACTAGTTTTGTTTAAAATCTTTATGACAGATGGCTAACTCTTTGATTTAGAGTTTAAATCAAAATATACACTAAAATAAGTATCAGCTGCTGATTAAATCGTATAGTTTAATCACGTTAGGTTAAAAATCGAGATAACCCGCTATGACTCTCACCAAGAGGCCATTTTATTAGTCATGGGCAACAAAGCTATATTTTGGTCAATGATGGCTGCATATATTTGTGGTTCTATTACATGCTCTGTCACCTAGGAGCACTTCAGCCCTTAGTTTGGTAAGCACCCCTCTGTGGCATTCGTACAATGATGAGATCCCCACTGTTAAGTGATAAATATGTATATATAATGTCTTAAAAGTCAACAATCCATAAAAAGGAAGGAAAAAAGGAAGGAAGGAAGAGGATTGAAAAAAAAGTCAACAACCGTCAAACCAAGTCCCTCGTTTCACTGAGTGAGATGAGCTGCCTGTCCTCTGCCATGGGCATCTCTGGTACCTGATTTCCCTTCGCTGTTGGCCGCCTTGGATTTTAAAGGAGGTCTCCCCCGTTTTGACTTCTGCCTCTCTTCATCCCTCTTTTCGTCCTTTTCACCATCTTCTTTATTCTGGGTAACAACAACAAAATGCATGAGAAGGGCCAAGGCCTTTTAAAAGTGAACATTTTATTTCTCCAAGAAAAACGATTAACTCCAAAATAAAATATTAGTTAATTTAAATGTCAAGTCCTAATATGTGCTTATCTAGAGAAATTCAGAACAGTTTTCTAACCCATTCATATGACAATAAACACTGCCCCTGGTTCTACACTTCCTGCTGAGGAAATGAAAGCCACTAGGAACTATGGAGGGAAGTTGTGTGGAAGGATACTGTGGGTGGGCAGAGAGCTTTGATGCGATGGAGGTGGAAGTAGGAGGCAGAACAGTGCATCTCCAGTGTGATTGGGTCCTCTGTGCAGTTCTAATGATGGTTAACAGCATCGCACATCTGTCTAAACCTACTGAAGGCACAAAGACCCAGAGTTGTCTGACACCTCAGATGCACATACCACCCCATGTAATACAAATGGACCCCTCTGGTGAGGGTGGGGGCTGACAGTACAGAAGACCACACCCACGCAGGGCAAAGAGCACATAAGAAATCCTGGACCTTTTCATTTTTGCTATGAATCTAAAACTACTCTAAAACAGAAAAGATACAACTTGAATAATTCCTGTACCTATAGTAAGTGATACGAATGTATGAACATACCTTAACTTTCTTCTTTTGTTTTTTCTTTGGTCCACCTTTGTCCACGGGCCAGATTATCCTGTCGGCCTTTACCCATTCATCGTACCTTAAAGAAAAGAGTTCAGCTTTCACAATGATATCCTATTGAAATATATTCACACACACGCCCCACATGCTCCAGCAGTAAGATAATAAGTCTGTTCCTAGTGTTGGCAAAACTGTAAAGAGCACAGGAACTACTTATTGGTAAGGAATGCTAGCAGTTGTCCTATGGACTCAATACAGCCACTGGTGACAGAGCCGGTCATGACAGAAAAAAGATAAAATCAAAGCCTTGGTGGCGGTCCATGTCTGTAATCCCAGCACTCAGGAGGCAGAGGCAGGCGGATCTCTGTGAGTTAAGACTAGTCTGGCCCACAAAGTGAGTTCCAGGACAGCCAGGGCTACACAGAGAAATCCTGTCTCTAAAAATCAAAGGAAGAAAGGAGAGAGGGAAGAAGAAAGAAAGATTAAAGAAGGGTTTCTCAGAATTAAGAGATTCAAGTCTGAATCTATTTATACTATACTATACTATTTGAAATGCTTTGTTTCCAGAACTCCCACAATCTGAACTCATAAGCAGATTTTGTACTAGAATTCTTTCTGTGGATCACATAAAGATGTCAATTTGCAAACAACAGCTCTCAATCATATCAAATCCCCTCATGTCCTCCCCAGCACTCAAGCATCTATTCTTCCCAGTAAAACTTTATTATGAAATGTGTCACTATCAAGACTGAAGATATTTAGATATTTGTATTCAATTTAATTTCCTTTATTTAGATTTGTTTTCTTTAGCCCAAGCTGAAGACTCATTTCCCTTGCTTCTTCTAAACACTTTAAATTTCAGCATAATCTTCCCCATTCCTAGAAAGAGACAAAAACATTAAACTATCAAGAACTAAATAAAACTTCTTGCATTACACAAATGCACAGTGACTTACAGTATCCAGCAATACTGTAAACTCATTGCCATGGAAACATGCAAAGCACACGGCTCAAGTGTGCACAGGTTTTAGCTGCCCTGGTTCCATGATATGAAGCTGCAGGGCCATTGGTAAAGAAAAGTCCCCAGACTATCTTGATACAAAATATACAGCTTTAATAAACAGAAGTAAGACTTACAACAGCTTACACCAGAATCCAAACGATCCGTCCGGACGCAGGAGCCAGGCGGAAAAAAAAAAAGAGAGAGCTAGCGGAGTCGCTTGCTAGGTTTATAGGCAGGCTTTTGCCTGAGGGTGGCATGCCCCCAAAACAAAATGTGACTGGCTAAACTCCCCTATCAATGATACCTAAATTACAGCTAAAAACCCATTTCCTGGCAGATCATCCAGTATCTAAAACTTTTGGAACAGAGATGGCTATTAAAACCTCATTTATAAATATTCTTCTCTCTCTCTCTCTCTCTCTCTCTTTAAAATTGATTTTTCAAGAAAGGGTTTCTCTGTGTAGTCCTGGCTGTTCTGGACCGCACTCTGTAGACCAGACTGGCCTTGAACTTGAACTCACAGAGATCCTCCAGATTTTGCCTTGTAATTGCTGGGATTAAAGGTGTGTGCCACCACCATTCAGTCTATAAATATTTCCTAATTTGGACATTTACTGAGGGCCTACTAAAGTAATAGGCATTGTAAAATATGTAGAGAATAGATAGAACAAGCTCTTGCTTTCATGCCTGATATAAAAAAAAGATATACTGTATAATTGAGTACAGTCTAGTAAATGCAGTAACAAAGATATATACCTAATCTAGGGTTGAAAAGAGGAAAATACCTTGCCCATGAATCCCCCAGAACACATCATAGCAAACAAAGCATGGGTGTTGTTCCCATCTGGAAGGAAGTCGTGTGGTCCACCCCAGCCTGGTCTGAGCGGTAGGCCAGGCAAGTACTTCTAGCAGCCACGTTAGGGCTTCTCTCACGCTTGCAAATGCTCCCATTTTAGAAACATGACTGCACCATCTAGAAACCATAAGGATTCTCAGATAGTCAGACTTGACCAGCTTTTAGGAAGATCTATGCACAACTAAGTCACGTGAGCCATCAGTGGGTGACTAGTTAGGACAATGACAGAACTACTGGGTAGAGTCATAAAGGGAAACCCTAAGATGAGAAGGGTGACAGGAAAGAGAGATTCTAGCACAACAGGGCTGTACACAGAATAGACGGCTGTGAACAAGCTTGAATCTGAGGGAAACGGTAAACATGCTGCAGCTGCCAGAGTTGGGAAGTCATGTCTCTCTCAAACTTATCCCAAACAAGGACTCTGCTTAGTTCTAAGACCCTGCAGAGTCACACTAACAGCTGACACCGAGCACGGACCCTGCAGAGTCACACTAACAGCTGACACCGAGCACGGACCCTGCAGAGTCACACTAACAGCTGACACCGAGCACGGACCCTGCAGAGTCACACTAACAGCTGACACTGAGCACGGCCTATGTGCTAGGCATTGCTCTATGCACTTCACGTGCTAGTTAACACTGGGATTATAATTTGACAATTTACTTAAAAGTAAGAATCCTGAATTCCCCAATCTGGAGATGAGGAGATGGAGTCAGAAAAGCATACATGCCCCATATGTGGAAAGGCGTGCAGCAATGTGGCTGCACGGGAACCCAGAACATCTTGCACTTACACACTTACACACACACACACACACACACACACACACACACACAAACTTTCAAAAGGCTGAAGAGAAAAGCGGGACTTAGGACAGCTGGGCCCCAGTGTTGCTTTTGCTGGTCCAACTCACATGGCCAGACTGAGCTGTCTTCCCTTGAACGTGACCAGTTTCACAGAACATCATTACCACACAAGACTGTTCCATGCCAGCAGAGGATCCAAACAGAAATACAACTCCCTACTCATGTCTGAACACAGAAAAAACAGGGAACATTGTCCAAGTATCTTCTCCCTGACTATGAGTCACTTCTGCTTCTTTACCAATTATAGGATTAACTTTGATCTGGCCTTCTCTCTTTCTAGGTAAGATTTACTAAGAGAACCAATGACAGAATTACATCAGCTTCCTGCCTGTGTGCATACAGAACAAAGACTCTCTTAAACCTAACATAACAAATGCTCAAATCTAAGTCCTACCCTGTACCAATTTTAATTACTTAGACAACTCAAAATTATTACAGTGCTTGCCACCGGCTTGACTTTTGATAAAGGAAACAAAGCTCACAGTCAAGAGCTGCGGCCTCACTCCCTGACTGCTCCCCAAGCTTTCCAGAGTGCTGCACTCTCCCTAATTCCTGAGGCGGGGCCCTGAGTTTTCACATCATGGTGATTTAGCCATCACCCTGGGACACTGATGATCCATGGCTTCCCCTCATGTTCTGTCTCCCTATATATAAAAAAGGGAATAAACTCAGTTGTTCCAATGGCAGACCCTGCTGATCTCTGGTGGGAGGCAGTGACAGTTTACATAACAGTGCAAAAATCAAAGTCCTCAAAAAATTTAGAACCAAGGTGTGCCTTGTAAACACACAAGAGCTTCCTACGACACTGCTCTTTTTAACCGCCTAAAAGAACATGCTTTATTGCTTACCTGACATTCCATCCATAGTAATGCACCAAGTATAAAACCTCCCCGTCATCGATCTCAGTGCTTTTAATGCTGGCTTCATAAATTTTCTGTGTTTTTCCTCGTCCATACTTTACTTTCACTTTGGTTCCTGTCAGGCAGGGTTCTGTGTCATCATCATCGTCCTCCCCTTCTGAGTCGCATTTGCTCTCAGTGTCTTCCCTGCAGTGAATTACAACATTGAAAATGCTACTAATCGCTTAATGGAGAACAACATCATCAGTGATAAGAGAGTCCAGCATGTAGAGTCCTCACAGCCTAAGTTACCTTAGTAACATGTCAGTGGAGGAGGAGGAGAAGAAGGAGGAGAAGGAGAAGATTTTATGGACTCCTTACTAAGGTGCATTATACAAAGGTAAAGCCATACTTCCTAAAGGCCCATCAATAACCACAGCCAATAAGTCACAGCAGTCAACAAGTCACTTTAAACCAAAATCAAATCAAATCATATGCCCAGAGCTGGCCTTCTGGATTCATAATCAAGTGCCATCTTACTTGTGAGAATTTCCTAAAGCGATTTTGTAATTTCTTGCAACTATTGTCTTCAATCTACTTCAGCACCACTGTCTTCTCACTTAGAGTGGTTCTTAGCAAGACAGACTGTGTGGTGTGTAAAAAAAACGAGCAATGGCTGTTTGCCTTAGTAACTGTGTCTCTGAAACTGTTTTACGCTGTACATGTGCAGTAGTAATTTCAGCTACTTGCTGAAATTATAAGAAAGTGATGGTAGAACAAAGCTCTAGGCTTTTGTTGACTTCCATTCTAACTCCTCCCTCTGCAGCTTTTCCTTGTTTCCATTGTTAAACATAAAGGGGATGCATATGACAAGTCCGGCAGGATTTTGAAACTGTAACCATAAAGTGTATTGCCTATTCGCCTCACAGGGACTCAGAAGACAACTTCCTCAAGGAAGAAGGAGGTGTCCAGAGCTTCAGGAGCGGTCTGAAGTCTCATGCACAGGGCATCATCTCAGTGGCCCCTAGGCACACGACTGAAGCCTTGACATCTCATTTGCATCGGGAATATCTGCTATCCAGGGACACTTCTCATAAATATCCCAAAGAAATCATTCCAAAATACAAATAAAAATCTCCATGATTCCTGATACAGATAATATGTACTGTTAATTATTTATTTGTATACTCAACTTTTATTTAATAAAATAGAAAATTATCCTTCACATTCAAGATTGAACTATTTGTTCTAAAATATTTGTTCCATTTATGCGTCAAGTATTTTAGCCACAGTTATTCATATAGATTCAATATTATAATTAGACCCTACTTTTAAGTAGCTCACCTTGACAGTGTTTTAAATATTTAAATATTGGACTCCTTATTCTCAGCTCCCAATTATTTCCTGCTACTTTTTAAATCCTAATTATACTTCACTCAGAATTTTTAAAACTAAACTATTTCAAAGACAACCGCACCGCTTCACATGCCTGCCTACCTACCAAGCATCAAGGAACTTTCCTACTCGTCAGTTACTACTTTCCTAAACACTGATGTCCCAATGGTTTATTTGTGGATGGTGACAGCTACCATTCGGGCACAGCAGCCCAATGTCCCCAAATTTGGCTGAAGATCTCAAACTTCTAGAAAACCAAGCATTATGTAATAAAATAACTAAAAAACAACTGGAGAAAAGTTCCTGTTTTCAAGTAAGTGTGTTATGATGTTGTTCTAAAACTTCCTTTTAATTACTATCTAAAAATTAGTAAATTCATTTAATCACATGTGCAAAATGGCCCACTATAGAAAATGGTGAGACGATATTTTATCTAGCTGAACTGCCTAATTTTTGGATATTTTTAGGTCACTTTGATCCATGTAAGTCTAATACATGGAAAAAAAATACAGTTTTCATTCACTCAACAGCAAATAGAATGTACATTAAAAGGCTGAAATTTATTGATGAGATGTGGGACAAGAATGTATTTTCCAAACTAGAATCAGGGGTGCATGCCACTTACTCTAATACAGTAACTTGAAAAAGAAAACTGTCTTAAATCAAGCTAACACACAGAAACATCTGCTAGTACTTGCACCCATGTGTTTGTTAGCTTCCCACATTGTACCTTTTTTAAAATGGAATTTTTGCTGTCGCTGTTTCCTCTTGTCCACTTCCTCCATTTTTCTCCAGCTCCCTTCCCTGCTGTCAACTGCAGGACCTTTCTTTTGACTGGGTGGCGCAGCCTTCTGTGAGGCCACTGTTTAGGGCACAAGGGCTATTAAAATGGTGCGACCAGTATATTCTCCAGTTCCGAAAGGCGGTACACATCATCTTCACAATGTGTCTCACCTTCATTAGACAAGAGGAACGGAAGTCCCATAAGAAGACATTCCCTCACACCTGAATCTCTAAGCAGGAACAGAGTGCTGCTGGACCCCCGACAGGGGCCTCTGGAGAACAGACATAAGACAATGTACCTCTCTTGGCTTGTCTCTTCCTCTTCATCTGAGTCTTTCTCAGAAGCCTCTGGCCTTTTAAGTTTCTTCTCTTTGTGTTTTGGTGTAGTTTTTCTCCCAAGTAGCAGTTCATTTTCTTTTTTCTCTGCTGTTTCATAGTCTTCATCGACATCCTTATTTTCTGCATCATCTTTGATGAATTTATCTTCTATTTTCTCTTCTTCTATTTCTTTTTTAATAGAATTTGCATCTCGAACAATTTTTCTTCGCCCCTAGTGGAGGGGATAAAAGCTTTTAGAGAGCTAACACTACAAATGGAGAAAGGCATCTTTCTCTGAAGCCTCTACAGTAGTGATCCAGCTGCTTCCTGGCTTGAGATTAGAATCAGAACAATTAACTCATTTGGACTATTTCTTTTGGAAGTAAGTGACTCATTAATATAAATCTTGCTCTCCTCTATTTTTTTTTTTTGCCTGAGACAGGGTTTCTCTGTGTAAATTTTAATTATGTCTCACACTACCATGATCCCTGGACAAGTTATTATGTGTATTCATAAGGAAACTCTTATCTGCTAGGCTGGGAGTGCAGCTCAGTGTGAATGGAACCTTTTTCCAAGTGCAAAGAGCTGGTTTCAGCACCTAGCACCCTGGCAACCCCATAAAATCTCTGCTCACAACATTACTTTGTTTGGCAATGTCAGGGCTTTGCACAGGCTTAGCAAGTGCTCTTCCCAAGGGCACCATCCTGAACCTTACTCCATACTAAAATACCTGGTAACTATGGTTTAAAAAAATTAAATAAACTATCTACATGCTAATGATAGAATTTCCTACTAATTATGTTGGGCTGGCAAGATGAACCAAGGAGTAAAACTTGCCACCAAGCCTGATGGCATGGGTTCATGACTTATTTGGACTCATGGAGGAAGGAAAAGTGACCCCCACAAATTATCCTCTGACCTTCACACTCACACACACTCACACACACACACACACACACACACACACACACACACACACTAAATGTTTTTTAAATAAAATGTTTGTTACTAATAATAATCTTCATAAATATACTTCCCTAACTTATGAGCTCTTTGAAAGGTATGTGATCTCCAATCTTATTGTTTATTAGAATAAAAATCAAATTTCAATATATTTTCTTACTATAAAAATAAAATAGCAGTATATTTGTGTGTGATTATACATTAAGGACCCGATGGTACCAATGTTTAAAAAGTAAGATTTTTGGGCTTCAAGAGCACAGGCTGCTCTTCCACAGGGCCCAAGTTTGGTTCCTAGCACTCTTACCAAGTGGCTCACAACCGTTTTTAACTCCAGCTCCATGAGATCCAACATCTTCTGGACTTCGAGGGTCTCCACACACAAGTCAAATGTACACACACACATAAAAGCAAGCAAGTAGGCAAGCAAACAAACTAACTAAAAAGTGAGATTTCTCTGAGCGAGTATCCGGAGCATGCTCTGGGCCGGAAGAGGCACTACTGTCTCCAGTAGCCACTACCAAACTGCCAGTAGGCCAACTGGCTGCGACACTGGTGAGCCTCTTCAAGACCTCAATTCTCCTGCAGATCTACCTAACACGGTGGCAGAACACTTCCTTCCTCTACTAAGAATTGGGGGGATTTAAAAGAAAAAGTAAAAAAGTAAGTAAGGAGCTGGGGAGGTCGCTCAGCATGTTAGGGGGCTTGCCGTGCAAGCATGAGGACCTCAGTTCAAATCCCTTGCACCCACCTCAGAAAAAAAAAAAAAAAGCCACAGTGCTGGGAACTGGAGGAAAGGCCAGGGGAAGACAGCAGGGTCACTAGGAATTGCTGGCTACAGCTGACTTACAGGTAGTGAGAGAACAAGTTTCAAGGGACTAAGGCAGAAAGGGACAGAGCAAGACATCTAACATCCTCCTATGGCCTCTGCATTTGCAGGCATGTGCACATATACCCCACCTGCACACATACACACACAAACTCACAGCCCCCCAAACAAAAACCTAACAGTTGATTAAAGCATGGTATACTTCACCCCTGTAATCCCTGAAAAATGGATGCTTAAGGGTCAGAAGTTAAGTTATCCACAGCTATATAGTGAGTTGAGTCTAACTTGAGCTATGAGTCTCTTTCTCTAAAACTAAAATAAATAAATTAACAAAACTTTATTTGATTTACACATTTCATGAAATTCATGAAAATATTTCACTTATTAGATGACAGAACAGTCAGTTTAAAAACAGGGATTCTAGGACTGGAGAGATGGCTCAGAGGTTAAGAGCAGTGGCTGTTCTTCCAGAGGTCCTGAGTTCCTGAGTTCAATTCCCAGTAACCATAAGCTGGCTCACAACACTCTATAGTGAGACCTGGTACTCTCTTCTGGCCTACAGGCATAAATGCAGACACAATACTGTAGACATAATAAATAAATAAATATTAAGAAAAAATAAAAACAGGGATTCTAATTCTAGATGTTGGAGAGATGGCTCCGTGGTTAAGAGCTCTTGATGTTCTTACAAAGAACCTAGGTTCAATTCTCAGCACTGACATGATGGCTCACAACCATCTGTAACTGCAGTTCCAGGGGATCTGGTGCTCTTTCCTGGCCTCTATGAGCTCCAACTATGCAGGTGACACACACAGACATACATGCAGGCAAACACCAACACACATAAAAATAAACCCTTTTAAAAAGAGAGAAAAGCAACCCCGCACAAAAGCACAGCTTTAAAAAAAACTTCACTATTCCTTTCCATTAAATATGACTTCACCAACAAATAGGATACATTAAGAACTGAAAGTCAGGCATAATGGTGCGCGCCTTGAATCCCACCCAGCTCTAAGGAGGCAGAAGTCAGTAGATCTCTGTGAGTATGAGGTCAGCATGGTCCAGGACAGCCAGAAACACATGATAGAGAGACGCTGTCTCAAGAAACAAAAAACCATTTTTTTTTTGACCATATGGCAACCCATAAAATGACAAATCATACTATGTAGCTATTACTGGCCATGGATCAGAATAATGAATGGTAATTCTTCATGTATGTTTAGTCAGTGAAGAGAAATACAGGGGGCAGTGTGTGTGAGCATGTGTGTGTGTGTTAGAGAGAGAAAATATGAAGATAAAATCAATGTACAAACAAATAAAGTTGTATAGTATGCACATAGATTTACAGTCGGGGCACAGGAACTGTCAAGAGGCAATTCACTCAACTATTTAATAAGCACTTCCAATGTGTTGTGCTTCTTTATTCTAGAAGCATGGGATCTCATAAATAAGCAAATTCAACACTCATCCTAGCCTTCAAGCAATGCAACCTTGGTACAGAGGGAGAGAAAGAGAAAAAAAAATCAATTCAGACACTCCAGCTAAGAGGAGTGAGGAAGGAGGAAAGCAGCGATTGTAAACAGTGCAACCAGTGCAGGTTCACTGAGGTAACATTTTAGCAAGAAAGAGTACATGGGACTGAGTCAGATGACAGAGACTTGAGCAGACTGTCACAGAAAGAAGACAGTGGATTTTTTACATGTGTGTATTTTTTTTTCCATTTGGTTTGGTTGTTGAGGACAGGGTTTCATGCTTTGGTTTAGGCTGGCTTGGACCGCGCTGTGCAGTCCAGGTTGAATGCAGGATGAGTCTCTTGCCTCAGTATCCTGAGCGCTGTAACTACAGGCATGAGCCACCATGCGTGGGGAGGAGGAGCTTCTTAAGCAGAGAAAGTACACATGTTAACAGTACCCAGGAAAAGGTTGGAGTGATAACCTTGTTGCAACATTACTAACTACCATAACACAAACTAGGGCTATGTCACAAAGTTTATAATACATATATTAAAGGTCCACAATAAAACTTTTCAACGAATGCTTGCAGCAGATAAAACCACTAAGAACTCACTCTTGGAGACTTCTGCTCTGTGTCTTCTCTGTCGCTCTCGCTGCTGGATTCGGTGTTCTCCTCGGGCTCGCTCTTCACCTCCATTAAAGGCATCTCCTGGTTCGTGTTTAGAGCCTCTTCCATGGGTTCTTCAAAGTCTTTTTTCTCCACTTTTACTTTGGGTTCATGGTGGTGAATAGTTCTGAACTGAATATTTGCAGAACGGCAGTACTCCTCAAAACCATAGAGATATCTAAACACACAATGTTTCATCTTAAGAACTCCTAGTCTTTGCATTTATTGTGAATAAAAGGTAAATAAATGGTAAAAATGAAGCCATTTAAAAAACATCCCTTGTTTGATAGTACTCTCTGAATGTCCTTGATAAAATTAAACAGAGGTACCAAAAACTAAAATATTGTCCAGAGAACCTGAGACTGTTACAATTTAACAGAGCCATCTCAGAACACTGTTCTAGAACTAACCCGTGGGTCATGACCCCTTTGAAAGCTGAATGACCCTTTCACAGGGGTCATCTAAGACCATTGGAAAACACATATATTTACATTACAACTCAGAACAGTAGCAAAATTACTGCTATGAAGTAGCAACAAAACTAATTTTATGGTTGGGGTCACCTCGCCATAAGGAACTATATTGAAGGTGGCAGCATTAGGAAGGCTGAGAGCTGCTGATCTAGAACATGTATGTACCCAGAGTTACAGTCTACACACTGGAACTGCAGCGAATGAGAACCCCTGACCTCTGACTTGAAAGAGGAAATCAGCATCACATGGGAAGTAGAGAAAGTGGGCTCTAAACTCTCAATCCCTTTCAATCACAAGTGTCTCCCAGCCTAAACGTGAACACTTACGTTCCTTGCTTGGAGTGCTAATGTATTAAAAGAAACCCGCTCCCTGAAAATGTTTATGTTTTTGATTTTTCAAGACAGGGTTTCTCTGTGTAGCCCTGGTTGTCCTGGAAGCCTCTGCAGAACAGGTGGCCTTGAACTCAAGAGACCCACCTGCTCCTACCTTGAGTGCTAGGACTAAAGGTGTGCGCCACCACCGTGCCCAGCTGACATTTATTCTTTACTGAGGCTGGACTACTTACTTTCTATACGCAGTTTTTACATTGTAGGAAGCAGCTGAGTTCAAAATTGGAATGCCAAGGTCCATATAAATTTGCTTCCATACAGCACCACTATCAATCTGAAAAATTAAGATTTTGTTAATAATTATCAAAGGACATGAGCATTCTGTGTTCTTTATGAAAGATGCATATGCCAATTCAACATCAAACAATGCAGCAGCTCATCGCACAAACAGTACCTCAGAGCTCCAGTTACTTACATTGTCACATCCCCCCTGATGGTAGACCAGTCTAAAGAGCTTGAAGAGATTGAGATCTTTATAGCCCAGAACAGGAGGTTTGTTGATTGGAGTACCTTTAATGTCAGAGGGAAAAATGAAGAGTTCAGTCAGACAAAAACTACTCATCTGAAAGTAAAGCTATCGACCTCTAATTCAGCAAAATCCACTAATGGGAGGTGTGCATTTAAAGGTCCTTCAATCACATAAGATACAAAGTCTTCTCTGTGCTCCTTGTACTGTTGTGCGGGCTCTCTGGATTTCAGAAGCTGCACCCTTCTATCAAGGTACCTCCGTTCCGTGAATGGCTAGAACTGAGTGAGAAACTGAGACCGCGACGTGTGACTGGCAAGGCTGGCTTCCTACAGCACAAGCAAATGAAGCAGGAAGGCTACAGCTCCATCCTTGCTGCTTAGCCTCATGGAAAGCTGCATGCGGTTCTCTGAGGGATTACTTCTCAAAACCCCAGAATGGCTAGGCCAAATTACCTAAGGATTTTCTAGGACTAAAAATGTCAGTGTGACGATTTCCAAAAGTTCTATTTCTTCTACCTCTGTGGAAATCCTGTCCCACTCAGAAAGAAACTGATATTCATTATCCTTAGCTTGTGGAAACCAAGGATCATGTGGGCTTACTTGTCTGAGTCCAGCATGACATTGTAGTTAATAACTACACAAAGAAATATTATGATTGGTCACTTTCTACTTCTGAATAATTTAATCTTCCAATAAATACCAGGGAGACCAGATTTAACTATGTAAATACTGATTTCCTATTATTCTACTGAAAATAGTTTGCCTTTATCCAAACATCTAACTACCATCAGGTATGACTGATCCGTAGGCTACACAGCACTCCCAATAAAGCAGAAACGATGTATAAACCTCAAACATAAAGCCACAAAAATGGCATACCTCTGTCTTCCATAAACTTATAAAGCTGCTGCAGGAAGTTGTCCCTCTCTTCAGGATCAAGTTCTTCCTCAGGCTGCAAACACAAGCACAGGACAGAAAGAGATACGTTATTTGTGAATCCAGGAAACCCTGCTTTCAGGTTTTTTGCTGTTCAAACTCTAGGCCCCCCCCCCCCAATGCCAGGAAAGTGCTCCACCACTGTGTTCATGCCCCGCTCTTAACTCATATTCTTATAACAAACTTCAGTGGCAACGTTAGGCCAGGCTACTCCCTTCTCTCCTTTCCACTCTGACCCTGCCTTGAGCATTGTTGAAAGACTAATAAGAATCAAGAGGAAAATATTCCAGAATGCAACAAGAGACTGGTTTTACCTCATGTGACTTTATTTGGGAGGGGGGACTGTCATACGGCCCATAGAACTGTACCGGAAAATAAGCAGAAGCATGACAGAAAATGTCTTTATAGAAAACAATACAACTGAATGAATATAAACAAAGACTGTAAAGTCAATGGTAAAGGTTTTCTGTTTAGATGAGACTCTTTTATTATTAATCTGAATTCATTGAAGTAAAACATATAAATTGTATTTTGGGGCAGACCTCATCACCTCCTTAATCTCCCCCAGCCCGCTTTTCTCCACTGCTTTCCATGAATGGCATCTGTATTTGCCACTGTAACCTTTAAGACATTTATATACAGCATCATGTCACAATGCCAAAAGGCTGGATACTCCTTACCTCTGCTTCAAAGTAAATCAAAACGAATTGTTAGCAAAGAAAGTCAACACATAATTACTTAATCGTGTGTGCTTCTGTAAAAAATAAATTTAAAAAAGCTACCTATTTTTGTGTTCCTATTTATTAATTATGTAAATCTAATACTATTTCCTATAACACTATTATAGATGAAAATAAAATGTCCTTGGGGTGTCAAGATGGCTCATTAGGCAGAGGCACTACCACCATGCCTGACAACCTGAGTTCAACCCTTGTGGCCCACGTAGGAAAGAGAGAACTGACGGCACAAGCTGTCCTCTGACTCACACACGTCACACGGCACGCATACACACACACAGAGAATGACAGATTGCCTATCAACACATATGCACAGCTTTTCTGGTTGTTTTCAGATTATGTCACAGGCAGGACAGGCCGACCTCTCTGACCCTCCTGCTGTCCCTTCCCACATGCTGAGACTGTAGGCATACACCACACCTGACTTACAGAAATCATTGAAAATTTAGCAGTATTGTGGAGAAATTAATAAAACTCTAATATTTCTTCCATATAAAGGATCATGACATTAGAAGATCACTGTGTTCTACGAAAATAATTTAGATTTTTGCCTTTTACAAAACATGTTTAGATGAAAAGCGATGTTCAGGCAATAAATATCGGTTATTCAGTATCTAGAAGGCAACAGGCACTTTAAAAATCATGTTATCCTTTAAGAATCTTAATAGTTGGGGCTGGAGAGATGGTTCAGAGGTTAAGAGCATTGCCTGTTCTTCCAGAGGTCCTGTGTTCAATTCCCAGCAACCACATGGTGGCTCAAACCATCTGTAAAGGAGTCTGGTGCCCTCTTCTGGCCTGCAGGCATACACACAGGCAGAATATTGTACACATAATAAATAAATAAATATTAAAAAGAAAAAAAAAGAATCTTAATAGCTAATACTATTGCCAGGATCAATGAACATATAGTCGATTAAAATATATAATAAAATCTAATAGGTAGGCAAATCGCTGTGACTCCAAGGCCAACTTGGTTTACATAGTGTTACAACAGCCAAATCTATGTAAGACCCTTTCTTGAAAAAAAATATAAATAAATAAAATATAATAAAACTTGTTCCCCAGCACAGGAAACAAAAATAAACCCACTAATTATAAATGAGGATCAAATAAGGTTATATCAAACTATGCTAAATTCTTCACGATTGAGGATAATTTTTACAAATTAAAAATTGATAGCTTAAAGGCATTGAGTTAGTGGATAAATAAAGAGTACTTTAGGCTCTGTGAGGAAACATGCCATGAAATTTTAAGTTTTAGGTGCAGTTCTAAGATACAAAAATAAAATCAGTAAGGAATTCAATTTATACATGTCAATTTTCTTGAAAGATTTCCACCAAAAAATAAATAAGCCAAAACAGCATTTTAAATTTATCTGATAGCTTTTGCAAAAAATAAAATTCTTTAATCTCATAGGGAATTCTTCACCCTAACTTTAACTTTAAGTAGTGGTGTTCCATAGACTAGAAAATGTCTCCCTGTGCGCCTGTGTCTGTGACTCAGCTCTGCTACTGTGGCTGCCACTGTCCATGCTTCTCACCCCCCAGCACCTCTTTTCAGATGGGAAGCCAGGGGCTGCTGCACTGTTCATGGCCCTAAGTGTGAGAAAGGGCAGGGAGGAAAGGTAGAGGGCTCTTAATTGTCAGACTTCTGGCCATGTAGTCAAGCAGCAGTTAAAATGGCCACACAAGAAGGGGACTCTAAGGCCACAAATGACACATGTACATGATTAGGATGATAAGAAATTTATAAGCCGGGAGGTGGTGACACACGCCTTGAATCCCAGCACTCGTGAGGCAGCGGCAGGCAGATAAACAACTACCTGAAATACTAAGTTAGAATATAGTGGTGCCTAGGAACATTTTTGTGTTTTTTTGTTTGTTTTTTCGAGACAGGGTTTCTCTGTGTAGTTCTGGCTGTCCTGGAACTAGCTCTTGTAGACTAGGCTGGCCTTGAACTCACAGAGCTCTTCCTGCCTCTGCTTCCTGAGTGCTGGGATTAAAGACATGAGCCACCATCGCCCAGCGGTTGGTGTTTTCTCTCACTCTTCTCCAGGCTGGCAGTGCTCAGGGGCGATCAGCTCTGGGTCACGGTTACTTTATGCATGGCTTTCATCTGTGAAGACCAGCACATAGTTAGACAACCGCTGTGTGATGAAAGGACGTTTGGCAGCTGAGTTGACAACAATTTCTTCCGTGTTCACACTGGCTAACAACTAGTGCTCTGCACCAAGCCTTGAAAACGGAAAGGATAGGAGCGGTTCCAGACGCTCGCCTGCACCTTCCTCACACGGACCCAGAAATGAATGCTTGTTCAGAAAAGGCACAGACCCCAGTGACAAATGGACTTCATACCACCTTACTGGGGAGACAAACGTCATTTGTTACTTTTTTTTTCTTTCTGTCTTTCTGTCTTTCTTTCCTTCTTTCCAGACAGTATCTCTTCTGCAATCTAGGCTAGCTGGGAATTAGTGGCAATCCTCCTGCCCAAGTGCTGAGATTACAAGCATGAGGCACAAATGAAGTAATACGGGGTGCAAGTCAGGAAGGTATCCAAACTGTATAGACAGGCCAGGAGGCTGGCCTGGAACTCGTAGCTATCCTCCTGCCTCTGACTAGAGTGCTGCAATTACAGGTGAGCACCACCGTCAATTCAACTTTCATTGTATTCAGCCTGTGACAGTTAACAGTGAGAAGAGAAACAGGAAGACAAGGCCAGCATTTGACTCATATGCCCAATGATGCAGGAGTTTCGGAGCGGTATCTGAGCGGTGACTGGGAGAGTGAGAACAGAAATGTGAACAGGGGATAATTCATGAAAGCCAGACGTTCAAAGGCCAGGGATGAAAAGACACAAAACAACAAAAACCGATGCCAAAATCTTGTGTTCATCTGGTAGGGGCTGGGAGCTATGAAAGGCTTTCCAGTAGGTCAATTACAAACAAATACGGTTAAAGACCTCTTGGTGAGGTCCAGAAAACTACCGCAAACTGGGCGAAGAAAAAAATTACTTAAAAAACCCCAAAAGTATGAGAGAGAGAGAGAGAGAGAGAGAGAGAGAGAGAGAGAGAGAACACTATTACTTAGAGTACACTGTCTAAGAAGAGATATTTTGAGGAAAAGTTGTGTTAAAGACTGTTCTACTTAACCTTCAAACGACAGTCCAACACCTTGTCTCAAACAGGAATTTCCCAGGATTTTACATAATCCACATTTATTCATTTTTTCAGAAACTAGGTGATGAGGGTTTAATATGGGCCAGGCTCTTAGTGCTCGCCGCCTGGGTACCCTGGGGAGAAAGGATGAGACACAAAGTCCCTGGCATACCTTGGGTTCATTTACAGCACAAGAAAGAAGAAGGAAAAAAAAAAAAAACTGAAGTGCTTGTGAAACCCCAGCCTAAGTATTCTCACAAGAAAAAACGAAAAAATAGAGAAGGTACTGCTGAGTGTAGGAGTCTGTTTTAAAGAAACCATAGAGTAATATGTCTAACTTCCCTCCATAATCAATCAATCAATTGACCCCCTCATTGCGCTCTCTCTCTCTCTCTCTCTCTCTCTCTCTCTCTCTCACACACACACACACACACAGGTAAGAGGGTTATGCAGTTTTCATTTAAAAATCAACAAGTCATCTTGTTCAACTTCAGAGCTACGTACTTTAACAGTGATAATAAAAGGTGTATCTTACTGGTGGCAATTGTTATAGTACAACAGAGAGATCACAACACCTCATGAACTAGTTAATAAAGACTTCAATTTAAAAGGAAAATCTTTTAAATTTTTAAAAAATGGTTAGAAAGATAGTTCAGTCGTTAAGAGCACTTGTTGCTTTTGCAGGAAAAGGGTTGGTTCCCAGTACCCACAGTGTCTCACACCACCTGTAACTCCTATCCCAGGGGACCTGATACCTTATTCTGACTTCTGTGGACACCAAGCATGGACATAGTGCACAAACATACATTCAAGCAAAACACTCATACACATAAAATAAGATAAATAAACCTTGGTACAGTGATAAGCACTGTAGTCTCAGCTACTCAGGAGGCAGAACCAGAACTGCGGGAGCACAGGAATTCAAGGTCGGCCTGGGCAGCACACTGACACCCCATCTCATAAAAGGAGAGAGAAAGGGAGAAGGAAAGAGAGGGAGAGAGAGAGATTAAAATCTTGAACTTTGATGAGAAGCGAAGAACTATCTACAAAGTTTCAAGCATAAAAGCTGACAATTGAGCAGGGAGTGGTAGGAGACAGCTGTGATCCCAGCACTGGGGGGAGGGG